CCATCCATTGGAAGCAGTAAAAGGCTTCCGGAAACCTACAGGCTCTTGCTGTTATTACTATATAGGGGAGGGTTGTATATCCTTCTCCTCTAGTCAGCCCTGGTGAGGCTGCCTCTGGAGTATTGTATCCAGGTTGGAGTTCCTTAGTGAGAGAGAGACATGGAGCTACTGGCAGGAATACGGTCAAGGGCTACTAAGGTGCTTAATGGACTGCAGCACCTCTCCTATGAGGAAAGGCTGAGAGAGCTGGGACTGTTAGGCCCAGAGAAGAGAAGACTGGGGGGTTCTTGTCAACATGTGTGACTATCTGAAGGAAGAGTGTAAAGAAAATAGGTCCAGACTATATTGTGCCCAGTTTTAGGACAAGAGGCAACAGGAACAAAGTAAAACTCAGGAAATTCCATCTGAACATGAATAAAACTGTTTTTTTTTTTTTTTTTGGGGGGGGGGGGGTAACTGTGCACTGGAACAGGTTGCCTTGAGAGGCTGTGGAGGCTCCATGCACTTTGCATGACATATTTTAAACTGGACACCAAGAAAATTCAGTTTCTGAATGGGGTTAGCAGTTCTTGAGGCTTTTGACAAGGTCTGTTGTTGTCGAGGCCACTGGCCACATGGATTTTGCATTGTTGCAGTCCAGATAAATGGGAAAAATAAGCCACCATGCTGCATTTTTACTTTGTGTACTTGGTTTGTGTGCATTGACACAGACTGAAGATCGTGGGCGAAGAGCAAGCAGCAGAGTTCAGAGATTAATGGTGGAGGAGTGAGGGTGGGGAGGAGAGGAGAGGTTGGGAGTTGGGAATGAATAGCAATGGTTATTGTAGAATTTTTATTGACTTCTATGGTAACCTCAGTTGTGATAGTAAAAGCAGGAGCTGAAGGGTAAAGATAGGGAAGGATCTGGCTGCTGAACATCATCTCTGTATGATATATGTGGAAAATGGGGACAAATATCAGAAAGAGAAAGAACGATAGGAGAGAAGCCAAATTTTAACGCTCTGTGGACACATTCCCTAAAAGAAATCTTAAGGGTGAAAGCAAGCATGCTAAGTAATCAAGAAAGATGGGACCTTAGTGATAGACAAAAGCCAACAAAGATAGAAAAGGACAAAGGGAATCCAGGCCAGAGAAGGAAAAGGTGTTGATGGCATATCTTCTTGCCCAGAAAAGGCTGGGATGGGATAGGAATAGGGAAGCTAACAGAAGCTCTTCACCAAGGTTTTGGTAAGAAAGAGGAGATGTTTTTTGATGGAAGGAAAGTCTAATAAAGATGACATTACAGGATGGAAGATTTGAGTAAAAGACAAGTCTCTAGGTATCTTGCTGAGAGGACTGGTTTAGCCAGCAGAAAGGAAAAAAAAAACCTTTTTGGCAAATTCTCTGTTTGTAGAAAAGGTGATACTCAGGAAGGCATTTAGTGTAGTTGGGAGGAAGAAGCAGTGAAAGGAGAATGATGAAAAGTGAAGTTTTGCTGCTAAGTAGGGTCCAGGTCAGACCTTATTGTAGTTTAGCTCATATCCTCCATGCCTTCGTGAGCAAAACACACACTTTTGTCTTAAGGGTCATTGTAAGGAAATCTAAGACTTGCTCTGGAGTTGATTTTGCTTTGTGTCCATAGAGAAGCATTAACATTTGGTGGACAGCTGGACATCCATAACTTCCCTTTTGTGCCTAGATTGATCTGTCAGGCCGTGTCTGTGGCGTGCAGTTCATTATGTTAATTGTAGCAGACAGTTAACTACAGGCATAGCAAGTGCGGGAGACGGTGACCTCCTGGGAGCTATCAATAGGTGACACAAACAAGTTGAAATAATGGCTAAGATGGCTCCATTGACCTTGCTTCGGTTAATCTTTCCCTGCATACAGCTGGATTTTTGCTTCTGTGGGTCTCTTCTCTTTGCTGTACATCGTAGTTAGGTTCATACATTTCCTCTGGGAAGACAGCAGTAATCTCGGTCAAGAAGCAGATGCTTTCACCTGGTTTCCCACCGGAAAGATTTTGCACAAATCACAAGTTTTTAGCTCTTATCCATCTAGGAGAGAGGCTTTTGCTTCTTCCACTCGTCTCTCTCAACAGATGTGTTAGGATAAAGTAATTCCCATGCTTAAAGAGAAGCTCTGTCTGCTGCTTGTGTAAGCAGTATTATATATCATTACTAGCAGAGAGCCAACGTGAAGCTGTGAAGTAGGATTTGGGAATGTCTTTTATGGTCCTGGGAATTTCTCTTCTTCCCCCCTGCTCCTCTTGGAGGGAGATACTTCTCTCCTGTTACACTGGAGCCAGCTCAGGTGTCAGATTCAGAAGCTAAAAAGCCTCTGCCCTTCAATGAGCAGCCACTTTCTGATAACGGTCGAGCGCAAGATTTTGCAATTCAGTGTGAGAAGGGGTGGGAGCTGAAACGATGCCCTTGAAAATTTATGTCTGTTAGGAGTAACAGTAAAGAATGCACGAGAAGATCTCTCTCTCCTCCTCGTTTTTTCATAACGTGCCTCCAAGGGGGAAGCCTCCGGAGGATAAAGGGCTTTTGGGTGTTGGGCTGCGGCTGGTATGTTGGCTAAAGCTTCGTGAAACCTAATGCGTGGTTTTGACAGAAGAATCACAACTGTTGGAAGGTTCCAGTGACCGTGGCAGGCCTCGACAGGAGTTATTCTAAGAACACAACATATGATCGGGTTACTGAGGGACCCTTTGCATAGTCCTGAAAAATGAACCATCTGACAGCTTATGACAGCCCTGTGTGCCCCAGCGGAGGGAGGGAGGAGAGCCGGCCTTCCCTGCCCCTGCAGCCAGGGTGGTGAGACAAAGACAGCGCTTTCCATGCTCTGTGAACCACAGACCAGCAGCAATCCAGTGTCTGCCGACATCTAACTTCTGCTAAGGAAAACAGAAGACATTTAGGACTTGTTTACTTTGCAGTTTTGATTATTTTATTTTATTAGTAATTTATTACCTTCCTGCTGGGGAGATCGTTAGATGAGGCAAGTTGCATACCTGTCTGTAGTAACGGGATGGTAACGGCTCTGTGGAGTGACCTGCTTTTGCCACCAGTATCTTTATTCTCTCCTGAGTCTTCTCCAGTGAGGAACATGGCATGAGAGAGCCTTGGAATATTGGCTAGTACAATGGGCAAAACAGTCTTGATTTGAGGAACTTCACCCTATGGAATTTGTTGCCAATTAACATAAGGTATTATTTCTTGATTTAAAAACAAGAAGATAAACAATTAAATTCTCGGGGAAAGATCTTTTCTCCCCTTTCCCCAACTTCAGCCACCACCTCTCCCCCTGCTCCCTTCCTAGTCTCAGCTCCCTTGTTTTTGCCAGGCATTACTGAGTCCCTGACAGTTCCTTGAGCTGAGGACAGCACAGGAGGTTGGGGTCAGCTCACAAAATGGTTTCTTTCTGTTGCTCTTTTCTTCTTACTTTCTTTCTTCCACCGCTTCTTACTTCTGACAGCTCCTGTGCTCCAATGTCCTTTCTGCACAGGCTGCAGTCACTTTGCGGGGTACCTGCTGGGGTCAGGCACCAGCTGCGCTCCTTTCAGGCTGGGCTTTCTCCTGCACGGCTTACCCATGGGCCACAGGCTCTTCAAGGGTTTGCCTGCAAGGGCACAAGTTCCTTCAGGGGGCACAGTTCCTTTGAGGGCGCTCCTGCTCCTGCGTGGATTCTCCACAGGCTGCAGTCTCTTCAGAGGAGTATCTATTCTGGCATGGGATACTTCCCTGAAGGAAGCATCTCTTGGTGCATATATCATAGAATCACAGAATCCTTAAGGTTGGAAGGCACCTCTAGAGATCATCTAGTCCAACCCCCTGCTCCAGCAGGGACACCCAGAGCCACGGGGCACAGGGCTGCGTCCAAGCGGGTTTGGAAGATCTCCAGAGAAGGAGACTCCGCAACCTCGCTGGGCAGCCTGTGCCAGGGCTCTGGCACCCTCACTGTCAAGAAATGTTTTCTCAAGTTCCTGTGGAACTTCTGGTGCCTCAGCTTGTGGCCGTTTCCTCTAGTCCTGTCGCTGTCCACCACTGAAAAGAGGCCGCCCCCTCCTCCTCACTGCCTCCCTTGAGGTATCTATAGACACTGATCAGGTCCCCCCTCAGCCTTCTCTTCTCCAGGCTGAACAGGCCCAGCTCCCTCAGCCTTTGCTCACAGGGCAGATGTTCCAGGCCCCTGATCATCTTCATAACCCTTATATACACATTCCTTCTTTATAGATAATGGGGAATGAGGTATAGGGGGTATTTTGTCCTTCCCATTTCTTCTTCTAAGGTGTGTCAAACTGCAGCCCTTTGAACTCTGGCCTATGCCAGCAGCTATGGTAGTCATGTCTTTTTCCCATCACTTCTGTTGTTTCTTACCTTGTGAATCTGATTCATGTCCAACAGAAAGAGGCTTTGGAAAGCCATAAGAACAACTACCCTGGGTACTAGAAGAAAGTGGCACAAATGAACATCACTAGCAATTAGTCTCAGCTTTGTAAAAATGGTTACAGTAGCTGTCAAAACAGCCAGGTGGAAGGTAGCATCACGACATCTGGTTCAATCTAACTGTCTTGTGCATGTGATGGTGCTAGGCTGGAACTATGGAAATGGAAGAGATCAGAGTGCTTTTATTGTTTATTTTCCTGTAGTTAGATTCTGAGTGCCTTGGAGGCAAGGTGCTTTCTTTTTTGTTCTGTGTACTGGTGGTCTTGATCCATACTTACAGCTTCCATACAACATGGCAACGTAAGTATTAAACAAAGCCTTTAATACCCCTTTTAACCGCTAATTTTAAGCTAGACAGATGCAAGTTAGGAAACAAAAGTTGCAGATAAAAGTTCTGCCTCTAAAACGCTGGCCTCTACCTTGTGAACTGAGCGAGTACCTTCCAAAAATAGAGGAGGATGTGGGAGCAGGTCACCTCTGTGCTGACCTCTATGATAGAGGGTTCCATTATGCATCTTCTGCCTGAGCTCTCGGCTCTAAACTTGTCTTGGCATTTTCTCTTTGTTCTAGGCCGAAATGAGCTGATTGCCCGCTATATTAAGCTGAGAACAGGGAAAACGCGCACAAGGAAACAGGTAAGTGTCAAGTTTACTCGGTAAACGTTAGTTGCTTGATGCCACTTCCCACAGAGAGGGCAAATGAGAACAAATTCCTTTGCTGTTCAATTGCTTTTAGTTTGTCATTTTCTTCAAGACATTTTTTTGCTGAGCTGGTTAGTAAGAACGGTGGGCAGAGTCGCACGCTTTATGATTGTACCATGACATTCATACCCTCCCCATTGCATTACAATACACGATCTTTTCTGCGTTTAAGCAGTGTGCAGTTTTATTTGTCTGATCTACTAATGAGTATTTCTGTGACCATCATAGTGGCCTTGTATATCAAGGTTCGTTCTTCATCCCAGGCGATGAAGAAATCAACAGCAATGTTGATTTGCAAATTACTTTGTACAAAGGATTTTTTATGTGATTTGGGAGTGATAGGCAAGGTAATGTTGGAAAATTCCTGAGCAATTTGGACCTGCTCTGAATAGGGGGTTGACTGTGTGGCCTCCATAGATCCTTCCAGTTTAAATTATTCTATATGATACATTTCAGGCCAAACTAGATATTTTGAAGTTTTGAGAAGTTTTGAGAGTCACTATATCATGTCTAGGGATGCAGAATTTGGATTATTCTTCTCGTAAGAGAAGGCTAAATTGAGGAGCAAAGAGATCAGAACTCTCAACTCCCAGATTTAAGGGTGGGCTCTTCAGTTTCAGAGAGATCTCTGGTTTCATAAAGTCATTTGAAATGAAAGAGGCCTTAAGTGGTCCTTTTCAGGCTCTCCCCCTCCTCACTTCATGACAGTTAACTTATGTTCAGAGAAGCATCTCACTGGAATCTCTAACTAAAATAGAATAAGAAAACCTTAAATGAATCCCATTGCTCAAGATACATGTTGTTTCCTTCTGCATGTTGTTTCCTTCATGTTGCATGTTGTTTCCTTCTGCAAGTGCTACCAAGTCCTTCTCTGGAATGAAGATGGATTTTGTCTTTCAATGCAGGTATCTAGTCACATCCAGGTCCTGGCAAGGCGAAAAGCTCGAGAGATCCAAGCCAAACTCAAGGTATGGTACATATCCTTTAACATATCTTTCGAGCCCTCCAAGTGAGCTATTCCCTCATCCTTTCCCTCCTTGAATAACCTCAGTATAGGGTGAGATTAGCACAAACTGTGGTAAGTTGGTTAGGAAAAGGTATTTTTCAGGAAGTGTTGTGCAAACATTTGTATTGTTGAGGCTGTGTGACTTCTGAGACAATTCTATTTAAAGAACAAAGAAATTACACCTTGAATTTTGATGTATCTTATCTTTGCCTCTGTTTTATGCTGTTGTCATCCGAGTCTGAGAGTCTTCTGGGAGTATTCCGGGGAATAAGGGAAGAGCGTTTACTTGAGTAGGAGTGGGGGTTATGGATACAAATGCTGGCCAGTTGTAGCAACCTAAGGAAAAGGCAGCCTTCCAGTTACTGCAGCACTATTTCCATGTCTAATACTGGTAGTGCTGTGGACTTGTCTGCAAGAAATAGGGTCCTGAGCTGGCATAACCACTGGGAGAAAGTAACAAATCCATCTGGCATCTTCTCAGGGAAAATGGTGTCGACTGACTTTGATTAATTTGGGCTTGGATTTGAAGAGGCCGGGATTGAATAGAACAGTAGTGGCTGAGTTCTGCCCACTTGCTTAAGTGAGCCCTTGTGTTTTTCTTTCCATGGGAAGAGCTTGGAGAGCAAGCTAAAGAACCCCATAGCTCTTGACATTTATTTTCACTCAGATTTGAATCAGTAAAATGGTTTATGTGCTCAGAACAAACTGATGTGAACCTCAAGAAGATCAGGCTTACAGGTGCAATTGCACAAGAGAGTTCTCCCTGCTAGCATGTGAGCTGTGCATAAGGAGCCTGGTGAGCAACATGAGAGGTCCAGTCCTTGTTACATGTCATCGCGATAGCTGGGAAAGGAAGGTGCACGCTGACCTTCTCTGTTTGGTATGGCAATAAAGGATCAGGAGGAAGACGTGTTTCCTTCCCTGTGTGTGACGCACCGTCGTCCTGATGGATGATCATGCTTTGGATGATAACTGCAGTCCTGACAGACCCGCTCAGCCCTAGCTGTTCAGCAGGCAGTTGTGAGAGGTGCTGCCTCCCAGCTTCTTAATTTGGCCTCTTGAGGAGTGGACTTTCTGTAAGCCAACAGCTGGGGCTCCCTCCTGACCGGTGCTGAATCGCATCTCTGTTGTGAGCTGTGATTAACAATCATGACTTTGTCCCCCCCATCCCTTTCCCGACTCCGTTTTAGAAGACAGTGCTGTGCCTCTAATCAGCCTGTTGTGTTCCCAAGGACTCTAATGAGGGAAAGAAGCTATAAACTACAACCGACTAAATCAGTGCTTCTAGGGAGGGCTGCCTAAGCCTGGATCCTGTGGTGGCCTTAAGCAGTCACTTCAGGCAGAGGCCTGCTAGAGAGACAAGCTACAGTAGGCGTGAAACAACAACTGCCCAGGGCATTAAAAGATTTAGTGCTGCTGATACCCATAACCTTGATTCTGTTCCTTGGGTCTTACAGCTCTGTGATTTGGTGTGATTGGAAAGCCAGCCTGCTGAGCCCGTTTCCACTTAGCACACAGGAGCAAGGCCTCTCTGTTCTCAGGGCATGACGGTGTCTCAGGGAGCTCCACGGGGCCATTGGTCGTTCTCATTTCACACTGCTTGGGGCCTGCTGTGAGCTCTGCCCAGCGCTCTGCAGCGAGCCAGTCCTCAGTGCCACACTGTGCCTCTCTGCCTGCAGAGGCAAGTCTGCAGCACTCATTCAGCTCATTTACTTCTTGCTTTCCTTAGTAATTTTGATAGAGGAAATGAAATCACAGAAGCTGCTGCCCTTCTTCCAAGTTCTTGCTGAGAGCTGTGTGTTCAAGCATTGTTCATTTCTCACATCAAATACACATTTTTGCTTTTATACTAGAGAGAAAACCCAACAGAGAACGATAGTTAAAGTCTTTTCCCTGCTTAACTGCTCCTGTTTTTGCTTTTAGAATTCTGCAAGTGATTTTATTGCTTCTTCGCATAAGCTCAGGTTAAAAAAAGATATTTTCTTCTACTTTCTAAGGAAGTAGTCTTTATATATGTCATGGGGAGAAAAAAAAAAAAAAGGAAGATTGCTTACCCTTTAAAAAATCTTGCAGGTAAACTTTAAAGCCTCACAGCACCATTTAAACTAGATTCTGAAAAACTTTGTTGTAGCCTTGGAAAGCTTAGCAATCTTGTCAGCAATTAAAATGTTTCCCTTCCATACATTGGAATGGTACTAACAGGAGTCAGAGATATTTAAAAAAAAAAAAAAAAAGTAGATATCCAAGTTGTGGACATTTTTACAGATGTTGTGGGCATATTTTGCAGATCACAAAAGCAGAGTCTCTGAAGGAGATAAATTAGTTTTTGCATAGGAAGAAAGGCGGGAAGTTCTACTTTGTTTTTTCTTGGTATATAAAATGAAGAATGCTTTTACTCTTAAACATACATTAGACCTAGTTGTGGCATTGCAGTTGTGTGCAATTCCACAGCCATGTTAAAATACAAAATGGAATACAAAGTAGTCACCATGTGTGGACCCTGGGAGAGTGCTTGTTTCCCCAGGGATGGGACTAAACTGATCACCTCTACCTGAAACTAGTGCAATCCCAAATTGAGCCTGAATTTTTCCAGTCATGATGACAAACTCCTTCAGTTTAAATAGTGAGGTGGATTTTAGTGTTTCTTTAATGATCAAGCATCTTTCCCATTGAATGTTCTTATCAGGGATTAAAACACAGGAATGGTCCCAGTATTTCAGGAGGGAACGCCTTGAAGAACTCTTATGACTGTTATAAATCTGCTGTCCTGGTTTTCAGAGATGCCTGTTTCCTACAAACAAGAGGATGAGAAACCCAAGTTACACAGAAAATGTATTTATTATTACAATTATCTCTTTTTTTTTTTTCTTTTTTTTTTCCCCTCTCCTTTGACCACAGGATCAGGCCGCTAAAGATAAAGCCATGCAAAGTATGGCTACAATGTCATCTGCCCAGATTATCTCCGCAACGGCCATCCATAGTAAAATGGGCTTGCCTGGTCTCCCACGACCAGCCTATCCTGCTGTTTCTGGGGTGAGTGAATGAATCAGAGAATGGGAGGTGCGGAGTGCGTTTGAAAGGATGCTGGGACCTGCTTAGGTTTGATGATCCTAGGTATCATCAAAAAGAATGAGACCAACAGACAGTGTTGTTGTAGGGCAAACCTGGCTTGTGGCTGCAACAGTTTGCATCCGATTCTCTGCTCACGTTGAGGGACAGCAATAGAACTTCACTGTCTGCTTCTTCTAAAACAACAAGTGAGAGAAAAATGAGATCCTTTGGGTTTGCAACTGCCTGGAATATTTTTAGGACTCTATGTCCCTCTCTCAGCCCACAGTCTTGTTGCATGAAAAGGTTTGAGCTATCCTGACTCTTTCCCGAGTTCTCCATTGAAACAGGATGCTCCTGAATATGCAGATCACAGATTCATGGCCACTGCGTAAAATCTTTAAGAGGGAAGGCCTGTCAGCATGGCCTAACCGTGAAGCTGGGCCTGGTGAGCTTTGCTGAACATTGATTTCTGCCAAACTACTCCTGTGAGGTTTTCCTGGAGAAATACCTGTTCCCTCCAAGAGGGGAGGTATCTTAAAGGCTCTGGAGATGTAGCCTAAGGACGCATGCATAGTCTTTGACATTATAACTGCTCTCACTGTCTCACAGAGACAGTCACTTGCACGTCACTACTAAAGTGTATGGAAAGAAAGCAGGGACCAGTCAGCACCCCCACAGGGATGAAAGCAGGAAGGCAGAAAGGGAAGATAGAGCTAATCGGCCCTTTTCAAAGTCTGGGAGCTTGCAGGTTTTGTCAAACAGAGGTAAGCCTTGCTTTCATCTCTGGCCTGAGGGTGATGGCTTTTGTCTGTATGTTGTTCTCTTGCAGTTTTGGCAAGGAGCTTTGCCAGGCCAAGCCGGATCTTCCCAAGAGTGAGTATTCCTTCCCCTGAGCATTTCAACCAGGTGTTCTGCTACTGTATGCTTCCTGAGGAATACTGGTAGCTAATTCAAGATTTAGGAATTGTTAAGATAATGTAGTCTTTGTTATCAGTTTCCCTGGCCATGGATATGAGATTTGAGGCCTTTGGTTGAAGATTAACTGAGACTCGTAAGGAGCCTTGAACAGATAAAGCCACGTGCTTTCCTACAGTTCCTTCAACATGGATGGCACCCCTTTAAGATGTCCCAAGCACCTAGCGTGGGATTACACTAGGGAGCTGCTGCATCTGGCAGCCTGGTAGAGGGGAGGCTGCCACAGCTCCGTGCCCCACGTCCAGCCAGTAGCAAGGCTGAGCGTGCATTCCCAGTGGGCACACACACAGACCTACGTATACAATGCACTCCCTACATATAGAATGCACTCACACACATGTACTATCAGCCACAAAGAAGAACAGAGAGAAACACTCCCCAGACACACAAACAGAAATGGCACCAATGGCCTCAGCATCTTCTGTCTGATCAGGATGAAGGCCCATAAGGGAAATATATCCATATATGTGAGGTGGATCCCTCTAGCAGCTGGGCTTCTTAAACCCTCAGTCTATCCCATAACTGCCTCCCAAATCCCTGGTCTCCCCTGCCGCTGACACCTGGGCAGGCAGGTCCCCAAGGCCCATAGCCCCACACCAGCAGTTGATTCTGTTTTGCTCGCTAATGGACACACAAACGCCTGCACCCGACACAGCAATAAACACACACTATGGATTCCCCCGTCGCTGGCCTTTGTTGCAGGGTCCCTCCCGTGGATGGCTGTGGGTCCCCCATCTCCCCTGTTGCTGGCCCTTGAGCAGGCAATCCCCCAGACCTGCCGCCCCACTCCAGTTGCTGGACACACACGCGTGTGCCCATGTTCAGTGTGGATTCTTCTAGTAATTGGGCTCAGATGCACAGTCCAGTCAGTAGCCGGCTAAGGATGCTTGTTCCTCCTAGTACAGACACCTTCCCACACACACCTCAGCCAAGTCCTGGGCCTCACAGTCTCTCTACCAGTTAACCTGGTGTCTCTTCACTAGCCAACTGCACCGGGTGCTGGCTCCCAAGCCTCCTGACCTGCCAGTGGGCTAGCCCTTCTTGCTGTGATGGCGGTTGCAGTGAGCACAGGCTGACATGCTCTCACTCACTGCAGTTGCTGGGCCCTGTGGCCTGTGCTCTCAGTCTGATGAAACTGCAGTACAGATTGCACTGGTCAGGCCCTGGGCATGGCCGGACAAGCTCACTAACCAAGCAACCTCTTCTCGTGCAGCTAACACCTTTTATAGCATTATGCTTTGATTTTCCTACATTTGTTCCTCCCCAAATCACCTTAACCTGTCCCTTTTACCACATTTAGTTCCTTCTCTAAGCCTCTCGTAACATCTGATGCAGTCCTGAAAGGCAGGGCTCTATGCTGTAACCTCAGGTGATCAGGAGAGCTGCTTCTGTAGATGGATCTGGTGGGTTTCACTCCTGGACCCTGAGTCTGATGGCCCTTCTGGGACACCCTGAGGCAGGCCCCATGTCTCCGAGGGCTTTATTTGTGTTCTCTCTGTGTGTCCTTTGTGTTTGTGGCCACGAGCCTTCCCTGGGCTGATGGCTTTTCTGTGATGGGTCTGGGAGTAGCTGAGTGAGGGTGATACTCAGGCCCTGCCTGCTGTTGTTCCTCTCTGCTGCTTTAGGCATCTGGGGATGAGCTGTTTATTGCTTAACCTAGCAGGAAAGGGTCCTGGAGCCCTTGGAGCCGACTTAAATACAAGCTGCTGAGGGGGAGCCTTGTTCTGCTCCCCTGTTCCCTTCTGCTGTTGCTGATGTCTGTGGGGTAGACCAGGGCAAAGATCCTGTTTAATGATCTTGAGTGGGAAATTGGTTGGTAAATGGATTGGAGCATTTCTGAGAGAAATGAGAGGTAAATTTTATACCTTTCTTTTGAAAGGCATTTGGGAAGGGTCAGTGTGAGAGGTTGTTTTACAAGCTAAAAATAGGTGCTGCCCTTGAGGTCGGATGTTATCTTTAGGTGCATTTTGTTTTCCCTACCCTGCTATTAGAATGGGCCTGAACAGTCTTGACAAACTAGGTTCAATTGTGGGTGTTGTTGAATAGCTCTGAAAATCTGGGCCTGAAAGTCTGAGTGGTGGCCAGCCCAGAACATACCCACTTGTATGCCTTTAAATCCACCCAAAGGTGAAAGGAAAAAGTAAATAAATGGGACCTAGTGCCTGTGTTGACAGGCTCAATAAGGATTTACAAATGAAAAACGGGAGATGTTGTTAATACATCTGCTGGGAAGGCTTCCTCAGTCTAACCCAGGCTGATTTCTTGAGTTCTTCTGACCTTCTCTTGCCCACACAGATGTTCTTTTCCCAAAGCCATTTATGCTGTTAAGTCCATCAGGAGAAATACTAAATTTAATTTGCACAATTGGCTAAGATTCTTTTATTTTCCTTTTGTTTTTGTTATTACTAAGCATCTCTCTCTTTTGTTTCTATAGTGTGAAACCTTTTTCTCAACAACCCTATGCTGTTCAACTTCCATTACCAGGTAGGTGAGGAAATATAGTACCTTGTATGGAATTTATATTCTACTTTGAACAAATAGCAAATGGTTTTAAATGAAGTTTAAGAACAGCTAATTAAAAAGAAATGGTTCTATAGAAATCTTTGAGTAATCTCAAAAATTGTATATATGGTTTACCTCTGACTTCCATCGTTGTACTGATAGCCAAAAAAAATATTTTGTATTTCGGCCTTATTTTGAATAGTAGTTATTCCTCTTTTTCTTGGTTGGTCATTTGGAGTTTCTTTTCTTCCTGGCCCAGTAGAAGATATGAGTTCACATATCTCTACTTCCCTCCACCATGATGCATCTGCTGAACACACTGCTTTTTATTGTAACACTATTGCCTTTTTAGTGCCTGCTTAAGTGGGGCTTTTCCTTCTGAATTCCCCTATTTGAGAGGCTAATGGTGATGTTAACTGTGAGTCATTCTCTGTGATACCTAAGGGCTCAATCAGATCCATCTTATAGTTGGTGAAAGTGTTTTAAATGGTTTCAGAAGCAGCTAGATTGGCTTTTAGGTCATACCAATCCTATCTGAGACGAGGATAACTGACAAGCTGTTCAGAGCACAGGTGGAGAGCTAGGAGCCTGTGAATGTTATTTTTGCATGAAGACTGAAGTCATGAAATCTAATTAGTCTGCTCTGACAACAGGTGCTTTACTGGAAAGCTGTTACCAACTTGTCTCTTTCTAAATTTTGTTATATAAATCCTCTGTGCTTAGGGTTTGAGCCTCCTACTGGTCTCTCACCGTCCCCATCAGCACCAGCTTGGCAAGGCCGAAGGGTTGCTAGCTCCAAACTTTGGATGTTAGAATTCTCAGCGTTCTTGGAACAACAGCAAGACCAAGACACAGTAAGATGCCTCCCTCTCTCCCACAGCTCATGTATTTTTGGTCTCCAGGGAGCTTCCATTCATCATGGATGGGTTATGCACTACTGTTGCAGTGTACTGTATGTGTGGAAATAGGTGCTTCATTGATCTGCTGAGAATAGCAAGATGTTTTGAGGAAAGCACAAAACACAGTTTAAACAGATATTCCACTTAGAGGACAGAATTGCTTAAAAACAATATAACGAGCTCTGCCCTCTGCTTCTGACCTCCCGCTCCGGGATCATTGTTGTTTCTCTTTGTGTACCGGAGCTCAAGGAACTGAGGTCATAAAACAATTGTACGGCCTCAACAGGGCTATTTTTTGCTTTTGAGGACAGACCCAGACTCACAGGATGGTAAGATCACATGAAGCCACATGTCATCTCTCTGGTGTGTTGAAAGAAGTAAAATTATTTGGGGGGAACTGGGATGAATTTACATCATTGTATTTCCTTGGGACCACCTATAAAATGGGCATAGTGAGAGCTGCCAGGCTCTTGAAAGCTTCTGATGCTGCATCTTGAGGCATACATTGGTGCTGGGCCAATTGTGCTTCCGGTCTCCAGGACAGGAAAACTGTTGCTGTTCAGAAAGGAATTTGGTGCCAATGTTTGCCTGGGGGGTTGCTGTGGGATTTCAAGCAGCACTTGATAGGATGGGAAGTTTTGATGCTTGCTGGCTGAGTGACCTGTGACAGGTAACATTCTGCACCACGGGGTATTTTTGTATCAAACAGCAGCAGGAGGCTTAGGAGTAAATACAGGGGGGGAAAAAAGTTTCATACAAAGCAAGAAATATAGATTTATTGTCAAGAAACAAAGAACTGTTTGAGCTGGTACTAGCCGAGATATTTGTGCAAATACCTCTGCTCTCTCAGAAGTTATACCAAATCTTCAGTAATATCAAGTAAGTCAGACCTTAGCCCTCAGTTCCAGATAAAGATGACAGAGCCTCAGTGCTTGCTTGGTGTGATGGTACACAGCTCTCTGTAATCAGTCCTACCATTTTGTGCAGCAGAGCCTTTTGGATACTCTTCACACTCCTTGCATGAATTTCCTGAGCTTGGAGTTCTTTTTAAATGGTCTGACCTTGTCCAGAGCTTTTTGCATTTCTTTGGTGAGGTAGATTCAACTGGTTCGCTAAAAAGTCTCAACTTTTCTTCTCTGAAGATTTGTGTTCAGTATGTACTGAACAATTTTCTAATTCCCTGCTTTTTTTTTCCTTTGCAGTATAACAAACATCTATTTGTGCACATTGGGCAGTCCAGCCCCAGCTACAATGACCCCTACCTCGAGGCAGTGGATATCCGGCAGATCTATGACAAGTTCCCTGAGAAGAAAGGGGGTCTGAAGGAGCTCTTTGAAAAGGGGCCAGCTAATGCCTTCTTCCTTGTCAAATTCTGGGTAAGGGATCTTTTATGCAGGGGTGCCCCTGTTGCAGGGTACCCAATTACTGTCAAATTCTTGCTGCAAAAGTGGTGGCCTTGATAGCTGTTAAAGATTAACAAAGAACCAAGAGATTTTTGCCAGGCAGGAGATTGTTCTTACAGCCACAACTGTCACCTGCTATCTTTACTTGATTGCAAAAGGTCCCCATTCTGGTCTGGAGCAAGACAGATATTTCATATCTTCTGTGCAGTTATTCTGGACTAGTGGTTGGGGATTTTAATTAATGGTGATTTGGGCCCTTTGAAATTTTTATTTATGTGTAAGAGAAGAATTCGGAGGAAATTTTTTCTCCTTTGTATTCTCTTTTGTGTAGGTCTTCACTTTCCTCAGTGTCAAGTAACTTAGAGGCAGCATTTCTGCATCTCATTTATCTAATTAGCTACTTGCGACCTATGCTTCAGGGTGCAAGAAAAATATTTCTGGTTTTAGATATCATCATAGGTATTACACGATTGAAAAATATAGCAGCTTGGAGCAATGGCAAGCTAGAGGGCTTACAGGATAATGGGATATGGAGACTTTCAGCTTACATTTACCACTTACAATTCAGCTCCAGGTCAGGAGTGAGATGATGAGAAATGAGCTTTATACCAATTTATGTTGTGCTTCACAGAAGTACCTGCACTAATCTTCCTGTAAGATTATCTTCTATATAACAATAGCTCCTATCCTACTATATTGCTCTATATGCAGGGCAATAAAACAGAGACACTTTTGCATGGGTCTCTCCAGAAAGTTTATATTTCTTTTTCATAAAAAATCTAAACTTTTTTATTGGAAAACTTCAAATTCAGCCTTCTTAAAATGTTGTGGTAGTGCAGCCCCATGGTTAAACTAAGCATATATGAGCCAAGAATCTAATGCAGCATCCTACTTGTGTCACAAGGTTCCTGGGTGTGTTGTATTGTAGCACATATGGGTAGTGCAACTGCTGCTCAAAGGTGGGACTAAATCCAATGAAGCAGCAAAAAACTGCAAGTTGTGCATGACATTATGTTGATATTACCAAATATAGATTTATGGGGCCTTGACCAAGTGTATACTTTAGCCAAACGTTGGCTAAAAGCCCAAAATGATCTTGTTTTCAAAAGCTTGTTTTTTCTCGTGTACAGATAAGGCCATATGGTCCCCACATCCATTTTCTAATTTGAAAAACTGATCTTGGAAGAATTATTTTACGTCTCTGTGTTTTTATGCTTCTGTGATAGGATATGTGGATAGGGTAGATAGGATATGTGGATAGGATAGGGTGTTTTTTCATTTTGTTTCCTGATTACTCTGTGCACCTATATAAATCTAGAGTTCAGATTCAAAGGTATGTTGGATAAAGCAATTACTGTCATTTGTAGCATCCTTTTATCCTAAAAAGGATCAAGCAAAAGCAAACTGGTGATGCTTTTAAATTCAGAAGAGTTAAAGGGTGTTTTTTGAAAATTGACCTTTGAATTTTTGTTGTTTTGTTTTTTTAACATGGCAATATAGTTTGGTTGGTTTTGTTTTTTTGTTTTTTTTGTTTTTTGTTTTTTGTTTTTTGTTTTTTTTTTTTGAAGGGGTGTTGCAAATGGCAAAGATTTAGCCCGAAGACACTGGTTATGCTGGTTTTGTATTCATACACTTCAGGTTTGAAGAGTCTGAGGCAAGGACGTTTCCTAAGTGCACTCTACCTACATAGAAGACCATGTTTTAGGATCCTTGACATCATTATGGGTCCTATGACATCATTAGGATCTATGTGACAAAGAAAGAGATGTTGAGTTTTGTTCAGCGGTGCTTTAACTTTGGGCTGTTGTATAAAAAAGTTGCTTAGTTTAAAACATGAGCACCGTTTCCAGTTCTTCCCTGATGCTTTTGGCCTTGGGAGGCTCTGGTACAAAGAGCCAACTCCTGGGCTTGGCTTCGCAGGTTGTGCCTGACATCTCTGTGACATTTCTCTGTGCTCCAAGCGCATTCTAGCACATGACAATGAATGTGAGACATTAACCCCCTGAGACATGGGCCGTGGCAGCTCTGCTCTTTTGCAGTGTAATGTTATCTCTGCCACCTGTTATTTGGCTCTCCCCATGAACTCCTCTCGCACGCATCGTTATTAATAGGCAGGAGAAGAGGGGTTCTCAGGGCTTTGCACATTAGTGGGATGGTGCTTTTGAATCTTAAAACTTTCAGAAGTGGTTGTGAGAGACTGACTGGGAGATGGAAGGAAAATGACACACCAGGAATTTAGGAGGGGCAATACTCTGTCCAAAGGAGCCATCTGCAGAGGAGTGTGTCAAGGGAATTGCCTTGGGAGACTTTTCTTACCAGCAATGAATGAATAAATGTAATGATTTCTCCTTGTCAGTGACCGGCAAGCTAAGGAACCAGTCTCATCACTCAGTGGTTGCTTTTCATTAGTGAATTATACTATTCCAGAGGGGGCTGGAGGGGTGGGTTGCTGCAGACTTCTGTCCTGCTCTTGCCTTCTCTCGCCTGCCTCGCAAACAGCGTTGGAGCAGCAGTAGGAGCAGCGCAGGCTCCTCTGGGCACTCTGCCCTGCCCACCGTACGCCTCCAATCCTGCCCTGGCAGGAACTGCCTGCAGGGAAAGGCAATGGTAATTTAGTCCCCGTGTCCATTCTGTCCTTGGCCTTCAACTGAGGCAGCATGCACGACAGCATTTAGCACCAGAGATTTCTATGATCTTTGGACGTTTTTACTGAGAATGCATCTGAAGGTAGCCCATTATTTTCACCTGCATTCAACAGCACTGCCTCTGTTGCCGCTGTTCCCTTATGCAAAGAAATTCTAAAAGAGTGGCCCTTTTCCACCCCAGGTGCTCCCCAGGGTGCTCCGTGCAGAGATGGTTGGCAGCAGAAAGCTTAATGAGCTGCTGAGGCATCTGTCCTCTGGATTCAGACTGACACAGCCCTGAGGGGCTAGCTGAGTCGCAGATACCCTGAGTGCTGCGAGGTCTTTTGCTATCTTTGGCTAGCCCCGAGCCTGCTCCCTTTCTCCTTTCTTGGTGGCTGAAGCTGCATGAGTTTTGAACCATCCTTCAAGCCAAGAGTTGTTCAGCATGTTTTCCACTGACCATGTGGAACTGGTGTTGACCTGCATACTTGACCCAAGAGCAAGACGTCTTCATGGCATGGTTTCTCGTAGCATTAACTGCTCTTTGGATTCAGGCACTGCTTTACAAAGCCTCTGGGACTGAAGCCTGATTCTCAGAGGTCATGCTTTCTTCTGGGAAGATACAAAATTTCATACTAGCTTGGACATGATTACCATGGCCTTACCTGAACAAATCACTTTTTTTTTTTTCTTTCTTTCTTTTTTTTCTTTTTTTTTTTTTTTT